TAAACCGGCAGATGGCAGAAATGCATCAGCAGGCAATGACCGAGCAGAGGGCGGAGTTCCACATATTGTGAGCAACCTTAACCGAGTTCGGAAGGGTAACTCAAGCTCGTTATGCTCAGAGTGTGGACCCTCAGACTGAGGAAATTCCGGGTAACATGGTTGTTGCTGCTGTGCAGTCGCGCCAAAAGGACCAGCGAGCAATTGTACAGGGCGTCAACCACATTCTGGAGCGAATCAGTATCATTGGACGTGCTGTGCTGAGGCATGGTGCACTTGATTCAGGAGCCATCATGTTAGAGAGTCGCAGCAGTGGTTTTGACACAGCAACATGATCATGCAGCCGCAGCGTTGGCTCAGCTCCGACGCGAAACCAACGACATCTTACCCAGCATCCAAGAGATGACAACAACAATCGCCAACCTCCTGGGAAAACTGGTAAGCGCAGATGGACAGTCCTCCACCGACAGCGATGTGATAGCGATGCAAGGAGCTCCTCTCCTTGAGCTTCAACATATGGTTCAGCTTCTGTCCGGCAGGACTGAAGGGCATGGACGCGTTAGCGCGAACTTGATTTACCAGGTCCGCAATCGCAGCGGCTCTCGCGTTGCCAATGTGGATTGGATCATGAATGAAGCTGTTGCTGGGACTAGATGTATAAACATTAAGGCCAGGGTGGATCATCTCGCGCGGGCTGTGCATGAGCACCATTCGGAAACAACGGTACAGCCGCCTTCAGCTAAGCGGCGCGTGGGTCCCGTAAGGCGGGTGCTCGTTGGGCGGCGCGATGGTCCTCTTCCACCGGCGGCCAGGGAATTGGCTGATTGCAGAGCCGTGGGCGATGCTAACCCGCCGACAGTCGAGGCGCTGCTTGTGGTGCCGGCGAAGGCCAATGCCGTCGCGTCGGCGAAGGCCGACGCTATTGCGGCGGGGAAGCTCGGGGCTTATCACGACGAAGTACCTCGGAGAAGGGAAGTTGCGAGCGTTCCGCCAGCGCCGGATCCGCGCCCTGAATGGAGGCCGTCGCCGCAAAACGCGAGGACCGCCGAGTGCGCCACATAGACCAGAGCGCGACATGCGAATTCTACGAGAGTTCTGAGCTCAGTCTCCAGAGGCGTGGCGCAATGCGATAGATTCCCCGCCGCCGTCCGAGATCGACGGGGTGGGCGCTGGCGTGGACTCATCGAGCGACAGTCAGTCTGCTGCAGAGGAGGTCGTTGCAATGCGAATGACAGAGGATCAGATATACAAAGGGGCGGAGCGTTTCACGTGTAAACGTCTGCTCTCCGTTCCCTACTCCCGAAAGGGGAAGCAGGATTTCCGCGCGGCGTTGAGCTCGGCATAAGGCGTGCCTTAAGCGGCGCTCAGATGGCTTCGCGAGGTCGAAGGCGAGGACGCTGCGTTTGAGAAGCTCGCTGAGCGGGGACTCTGACGCGCTCGACGCAGACTTCGCGTCGGCCCTTAGCGAAATCCTCCGGATCGACGACCGTGAACGGCGGGCCAATGCCCACATGGAAAAAGCCAATGGCTGAAATGGCATTGTACGAGTGGCGGCGTGTATTTTTCTTGACAATGGATTGGTATCGGGTGGTTGAAGCCGACGGGTGCCTCCTCTATTTGTCTCACTTGAATAGCGCCAAGATGACTGGTGCCAACCTGGGCAAGGTCCTCGAATAATCTGACTATACCATTTTGCAATAATGCCGATTCCAGCAGGCGATCTCCTTGTAGCCTTGTTCCGATCGCAAGCAGGGCGCAGTCGTGTCGCGGGGGCCAGCGCGAGTGCGCATCATGGGATGGGGCGGGGCGACCCGAATTCAACGCACCAGTGTTGGACGCCATCAATGACGTGCAGAAGAAAGATGGTGAGCCGAAGTCGAGGGGGGGCCTCCGTGGCCGCAAGCAAAGGGATCTGCGGCGACTGTGTTCTGCGAGGACGTTGGTCGGCCTGGGCAGAGGATCCCATTTCCCGGTAAGCTGGCCGCGGTGAACTGGTCCACTCCCCAGTGGCAGGTTCTGAAAATCATGAAATTTCCAGAAAGCCTTGCAATCTTTTTCATGCCCCCCAGAGCAGCTTTTCAAGCGCTCCTTGGCGGCTTTAGGCTGCTCCTTTGCAGCATCTCAGGCGCTCCTCAGCAGCTTTTACGAAGCGCTCCAGATGCTGCGAGGCCAGCCGTGCGCATCTCGAACTCCTTGGCATCGCCCTCGAATTTCTTCCCTTGGTGTCGCATGTTTTCTTTTGCGCATCTCTGTCGCGTCATGTTTTCGCATCTTTCGTCGCTCGTCCTCTTGCGTCTGGATTCGCCTTGCGATGCTGCTGTCGCCCATCTCTGTTTTTGTGCCGTGGATTGCGCCCGTTGCCGGTGGGCCAACTTCCGATCAAAACGGCCGCCCACGCCCCCCAGTGGTCCGGTCGACTCTGCGAGCGCTGCGAAGATCAGGAGACTGATCTTCCAAGGTCGCCTTCGGGCGTGGCCGCCCCGCCCTCGGGCGTGGCGTCTCCTCCCGGTGCCTCCCCCCCTTTTCCTTCCCCCCTGCGGGGCCTGGGCGTGTGCCCTCCGCTCTTTCGTTGGGTGGGGCCCTGGGGCGACCTTGGCTTTGGGGCCTCTGGCTTGGGGTGTCTGTGTGTGTGTGTGTGTGTGTGTGTGTTTGCGTGCGTGCGTGCTTGGCCCCTCGTTCGTGGTGCGTGCTTGTTTTTGGCGGTGATCCCGTCTGGGTTTCGGGCGGCTGCGGCCCGTCTTGGCCCCGGCCCTCTCCGCCTCTCCCCGCCCCCTCCCTGCTGC